TGGACCAGCTTCGGGATCGATTTCTGGCTGTACCATTGGAGATGGATCATGCTGAAGATTTGCTTCCTCGATTTCAAGTTCATCAAAGAATCCTTGCTCTTCACACTTTTCTTTTTCTGTTGCAGGTCGGAAATATGCATTTGGATCCAGTTGTAATAATTTATCATAAAGAGCTTTGGTTTCAGCCAAATTTTTTGGCTGACCACAATCTTTGTCACTTAATTCTTTGACTTTCTTTCGTAATCTTGATCCCCATTGTTTAACAGATTCACCTGATTTTCTAGCATTGGGATCTTGAGACTGTAAATTTGAATTGGTTATAGGTTGAGTATTATGAGATAGTTGCAATAAAGCTTGACATGGTCTATTTCATGTTAGATCCATATGCTTATTAAGATCTCTTATTTTCCCGGTTTTAGGGCTCCATCCACATCCTGGGCACTTACCTATCATGTTTTCAGTGTTTTTTATTATATATTAATTATTCAGATCTTTTGTTTAAATAAAAAATATTTATTTCACTTATATATTCTGTCCACTCACAAGTTCGTATCCGGATATGTATAATAATAATGAATATTAACTAATTTGTTATATCCCACCTTCACAGTACCTACTCAAAACCAGATCTTAATTAGGTTAACTACTTTCTTTTTCCGAACTAGAGAGAAAAAAGGTTTTATATTTTGCAGTTTTATTCTCGCCAGCTTAGCAAGAACACTGCTTCTTCACCCACTTTCTCGCAGTAATTGCTCAAAGCCAATATTAATATACATGATAGCATACTCGATGGTATAGTCAATAGCATTTACATGACATACTTGAAGGCATAAATGTAACACACTCGATAGTGTATTCGATAATAATTATGTGACATATATTTGATAGCATTTATATGATATAAGCATACATATTTGGTAGCATTAATCGGGCCCTTTAGGGGCGTCTCTTTGAGATATAGCATAATCAGATATCATGTATATAGGATACTCAATAGCAATTATGCAACGTATATTGATAGCATTTCCTGATAACATTTATGATGCTATGTATCGAGTATTTTTTTTTATTAAGGAAACAAATTATATATCTTAAGTTTTAAATCACTCTGTTCTATTAAGAAAGCACATTATAAATTTTAAGGTTTTAAGTATTTTTTTTAATCAAGGAAGCAAATTATATTTCTTAAGTTTTAAATTGCTCCACTCTGTCAAGAAAGCAAATTATATTTTTTTAGGTTTTAAATCATTCTACTCTATCAAGGAAGCAAATTATAATTCTTAAGTTTTAAATTGCTTTACTCTGTCAAGAAAACAAATTATAGTTCTTGGGCTTCTAGAGGCCAGTTTAAAAAAAAAAAACACCTTCTCTAGAGCGTGTTTCTGGATATTGATTTCTGATATATATCAAAAATTGTTATCGATTTTGGTGATTTTAGCTCTAAAAACTCACAGACTAAAGGAGTGTAAAAAATACAAAAAAATATACATTACCAAAAAAAAGTCTGCCCACGCTCCCTGCTGCTGAATATGATTGGTATATTCATTTTTATAATATTTTTGAATAAAAGAGTCAATCTTTTTCTTTTTAATATGAATATAATTCTTTTGAAGTTTTATTTGATTGAGATCATACCAGTCTAAATCTGTAGATTCTGAATCAGAGCTGAATGAATTAATCTCTATCTCAGATTTTATTCATGGTAACTTTACTTTATTTATACAACTTAGTTCATATTTAATAATATAAAGTTTTTCAAAAATTCGATACTCTATATCATTTTCTATAGAATGAATCAACTTTTAAATATTATTGAGATGCATTTTGATTGAAAGATTTTCATCTTTATCATCTAAATCTACTTTAGAATATTTTTTATTCTTGATAGCTCCACTATTTTTAGAAATATCATTATCTAATCTTCTGAATAATGGATATGTAAGAGATATATTTTGAAATATTCTGTGATGTCTCTTTTGATATTTATTATCTTCAACATCTGAAAGAATTTTTTTAATCATATTTTATATACTATAACCAAAAAAAATAACTAATAATTAATTATTTGCCTAAAGTTCTTGTCATGATCGATGTAATCATTAATTAATAGCTCAAGCAAGACTATTTAATAAATTAATTCATTCTGAATCAGTAAATTCTAATAATACTCTAATAGTAGAAATAAGATCTATTAATATATTGATTAAAATTATTTTATTAGGTCTATCAGTAAAGATAATGCTTCAAGATATCCTTAATAAATTTGAAATAAGTAAAGATAGATCAGAATCCAAGAATTTATCATCAGAATAATCTGGATATTTGATTTTAATTTTTGAATTAAATTTTTTTATCACTTCTTTACCAATTTCTTTACATTTCTCTAAACTAAGATATTTCAAATTAGTATAGTTACGAACTATTTTCTCAATAGTTTTATTATTAATCAAGTAATCATCAAGCTCAAGATATCTAAGTTTTAGACATGAGCAAGTAATTTTAGTGATATATTGATTAGTGAGATATATGTATAAATTAAGACTCAGATACTGTAGTTTTAGAGAAAGTCTCATAATTTTTATAATTAGTATATTAGTGAAACTCTTACTTTTATCAAAAATAAGAATATGTATATTTGGATATAAGTGTAGAATATATCTGAAATTTTTAAATCTTCTAACTTGAGATATATTATTTTTGAACAATAGAGTAACTTAATTTTTCTATGTATAATTCTTTCAAAGTTTATCAATCACCAAATAAGAATCTGAGATATATTTAAGACATATCAACTCTGCTGATAATTTTCATTAAAAAACTTAATATAATACTATAGAATAGAAATACCATAGTGATATCAAAAGTAATTGATAAATAAAATAAGATAAAGAGATAGATTAATTTCTAAAAAATATAAGATTTATTCTAGTAATTTAGGTAAATCAAAAATATTTAGACTTTTTGAGTCATTACTCTGCAATAATTACACTATTCTCAAGTAATGCATATTATATATCTTTAATAAAAAAAATAGCTAATATTCAGATAATTAATCTAGATATATATATTATTTATTTTTCTGATATTCTCAATCATGCTTAATTTTATAACTAGCTCATCTAATGACAAGTTTATTTCATATCTTCTAGTTTCTATCTAATTCTTGAATAATAATTCACAAAAAAAGTATTTCTTAAGATATATTTTATTATTATTTACATCCAAGATTATTATATAAAATTTCACTATCTTATAATATTTTTTTACTGATAGAGATATTTATTTTAATAGTGAAAGCTCTCATGGAATATCTAATAATACATCAGTTTCATCAAGTAATATGAGAGTATGATTGGAAAAATTCATTTCAGACATATTTGTCTGAATTTATGGTGAATCTAATAATAGTATATGTGTAAATTTGGATTTATTAGAAACTAAAATATCATTAATCTCTACCAGTTTTCATTTATTATCTTTAGCTTGAAAAAAAGAATTTATTTTATGAATTTTTCTCAATATTAGTATACTATCTTCTATAGTCTCAAAATGTAAGGATGATATTGTATCTAAATTATTCAGTAATTTTTTAAATGAAAAAGGAATTAATAGTTTTACTTCTTTTTTATAAAAAGTATCAATCTCTAAGTCTAATATATCTACTAAATCTCTACCTATAATATTATAATTAGTACTGGTATCTAATATAGTTTTAACTGGTACTTTATTAATTTTACAAGATAAAATTCTTATTATGATGTTTTATTATAATAATATATTTAATATCATATTTTTTACTTCATATTAATAAATAATATTATGATATCAATAATAATTAAAGCTACTATTAATTCATGTATTAACTTTTCAACTATAACTAAAGAATTAGCTAAATAATTAGGATTTAAAAATAATAAAAGTAACTATGAATCTCATAATACTGTTATCATTTTAAGATTATACGTATGTAATTATTTTAAAATGGTAATAGTGACTGTGTTCACAGCAATTGTTTACTTTTTATATCTGTGAAGGCTTTATGACTGATTATTCTCTCAAAAAGATAATATGTAAGGGGTTTATTACTGACGAATTAAAATTATCTTCTCAATAAGATAATTTATACATATTTTACTTTAACAAAAATTTAATTATCTTCTCAATAAGATAATATATGTGAATTTACTTCTAACAAAATGCTCTCTCAATAGAGCAAGAAGAAAATAAGATAAGATATA